ATGTGACTGCAGAAGAGACAGCTCAGGGTGTAGAACCACCTCCTTCATATGAAGCCTAAGCAGTTCCCAGTTATCAGGAAGTGAGGTGGGCAGTCATAAGGGTACCCTGCCACTTTATATACTTTCTAAAGCAGATAGTACTGCCAGGAGTGTTCAGGGCAGCAGCAGAACCAAATAAACTAGGTGGGGTTCTCCTCCAACAGCGGGTAATTTCATTGCTGAAAGCCCTTGATCATACAATTGCTTGTGGGTTGCTCGTGTGGATGTGGGATGTGACAGATGAGCCCATATTGCCAGTGTTAGGATTGGTCCTGTCTCCAGCTTATTGGCATCCTCCCCCCAATGGTTTTTGAGCTTGGTGCTATTTGTGTGCAATGCACGACTTCCTGTAATGGGCCTTTGTGGGAAGAGGCAAATGATATAGGAGAGATGAGCACAGGTTCTAGAACCAGTGGATTGGGTTCAGATCTGAGCTCCTCTGTGGTACGTGCAGATCCTGGAGCAATTACTCGGGTTCATCACCTGTGTCCGCATCTTTAAGCTGGAGACAATAGGATTTTATGAGGGTTAAATGAGTTATGGCATATAAAGCACTTAGAAGAGTGCTTTCCATTTAGCAAGTGCTCAATAAATGATAGCTGTCATTATCATTATTTGTGAAAAGCAACTAAAATAAAATTACAACCAAGAATTGAAAGCCAGCTACCCAGTAATGTCCATTGGCTCCGTTTGCTCAGAGTTTCAAGTTCAGGTGTAAGCTTGCTGTGATTCCACTTGTACAGCACAAATTTTACATTCATTGGAGAAGTTAGTACTGCCATGTACAGAATTTTAGCTAACACGATAAAGCTTCCTTCCATTTGCAGAGGGTTTTCACAGTGGTTAAAAGACAGCACTTTTACACACTCATTATTTCATTTAGTTCTTATAACAACCCAGTGAGGTAAATAGATCAGGATCTGCATGCTTCTATTCCAGCTGAAGTTCAGAGTCTTACATTTACTAAAGGCAGAGCTAAAAACAGGACTAAGGTCTTCTTACTCTTCATGTAAAAAACAACAACAACAAAAACAAAAAATAAAAACATTCCCACCTATTGGCTCCCTAAATTCATCCTTCTGCAGATCCAGCTGTGCTGAGCAGAAGTCTGGTAATCTCAACTGTCAATTCTTTCAGTTCAGAGATGGTTATAAAATTAATAAAACCAGGAACAAGGGAACTGGGAAATGCCTCCGATGGGGGGGAAAATATCAGCAGGATGTTCCCAAGAAAGTATAATCTTTCATTAAGGAGCTTTGGTACATGGTAGAATTCTGCTTCAGTGCACCTGGAGAAGTCCCATTTGGGCACGATGATTTTATTGCTGTTGGCCTCTTACAGGTTGATTCGGCCACTGTTCCCGTTAGCTAACTGCGAGAATGAAAGCAAAGGGTAAAACATTTCACTTGTGTATCTGACCAGTATCCGTTTGCTGGAGCTATGTGATTTATCTAAGTTTTTCTGAATTCTGACCCCCCACCACCAACACCCCCAAGAAATAATAAAGCAGTACTTCTGAACCAATACCTCGCAGGGACATGCAAGAGCAAGGCCTGCTCTTCTTGGCTTCCTGGAAGATTATATCAGCCCGAGCCCTCACAGGCACAGAGAAGTAACACACAGATGATTTAATCATGAGAGCCAGATGTAAAGCCCCTCACTCAGAACCGTCAGAAGGATCTGGAATTCTAGGAAAGCCGTGAGGGTATACTTAGCAGGCAAGGATGGGGGCTGTCAGGGGACAGTGTATGCCTGCTTCTTGGTAGAGACCCTTTGGTTTAGCAGAGATGATCTCCCAATTCCTTCAATGGTCAAAGGACGCCTCTGGGAAGCCTCAAGGCAAAGAGAGAGTTAATTCTATCAAATATACAAAGCAGGAAGGTATTTATCTTAATTTGTTATACAGAGTAGTACCCACCATTTGAAATCTTAAGAAGGCAATCATGAATGGAAGTTATAGATCGAGGCAAATGTCAGGTGACAGACAGTGCCAGGAGAAATGTGTGCATGCCAGATTTTTAAATTTGATCAAAAAACTTATTGCAGCCAGATCAGTTTGCAAACAGCCTTACACACACACACAACACACACACACACACACACGTACACGCAATTCTTTTACCTTTAGGAGAAAGGGAAACTTGAGTTCATATCTATGAAAAGATTTACTTTACCCTTTTTAACCATTATTTTTTTAAAACAGCCTTGATGTGCTTTTATAAATTGTAGATTGTGGATTTTTGTGCCCTTTTGAAACCTAAGAGAAAGGTGCCTTTCTTTGTATTCTTGGAGTGAAGTAGAAAGTAAACCCATGACTAGAGATAATATCGAGCAGGAGACTGTAAACATACCTGAGGGAGATAATGTGGGTAGGCAGACAAACAGACCATTCCCCGGGGAGCAACGGGGTTAATGGGAGCTCTGCCATGAAGCAGATTTTTTAATAACCCATTCCTTCCAAGTCCTTCAGCTCAAGCTGCAGCCAAATATTTGCATAAAGAGCTGGTGAAGGATTCCAGCTTCCTGGTTCGTGACATTACGGCATGGATCATTTTCAGACTTACCATCACGGCCCTGTTTCAGCAGCGGTGGACAGGGCAGTCTCCCCCCCCCCCCCCCCCGCTCCCCCGCGGCGCGCTTATGGGAGTGAAGTGTAGGCTGTGATCCAAGAGAGGTGTGGCGAGCTTGGCTTCCCAGCACGGATCACAGAGCAGTGCTGGTCCCTTTAAACTTTAAAGGCACCATCTGAAACCTTGAAAAAAAAAATCCGAAATTACTCAGTACAATTATCAGTTCAATTGGAAGATACAGTCTGCTTTACTTTAAATAGTTCAAAGGGATAATCTCATAAATTTCCCTAAATCTCAAGTATTCAGACAGAGTAGTGGAAAAAGCAACTCACACAGAGTCGAACTACTTCTGAGCGTTACCTAGAATGTAGAGGCTTCAGCTCACTGACTGCAGTTCTAAGAAGATATTTTCTGTTGTAATATTTCATAGCTAGTAAGCACGTGTGCCTATGTTCAGCTACCCAGAATTAGCAAAGTTAGGAATTATGTCCTTTTGGGAGAACAAATCCTAAGGCTAAGCAGCCAAAGAGAATATCAAAATTTTGAAGAAAATGATAGACTAAATCACAGAGGGTTGGGATTAAATAAGTTTAGCTCTTACTAATTTTAAATTAAATTGTTTAATAGAAAAGCTGTTTACTGGGTATTCCCAAACTATTCCATTTCTCTGTAATATACAAATAGTTTACATTCATTTTTTATCTAAATTTAAGTTTAAAATTTAAGTGGAAAAATCTGATATTGGGGGGGAAAAACCCAGGCAAACATAAAAACTGAATCTAAATAAAATAGAACATTGGGTGTATGTAACGACAGCCACGTTTTTTTAGAAGAAAAGAGTCTGGCTTACCTTAGAGCAGAAGGCACCAAAGTTCGTGTGAAAATGGCTTCGCTTTCCCCGGGAAGCACTTGAGTTCATGAGCTCTGTGGTCATGTTCTTCCTTTGGCAGCTGCCTGGGGGCAACGGCGTCCGCCTTGCAGACCCAGTCCCACCATCTTCTGCAGGTCAGTACAACCAGCGTCACTGTTCCCTCAAAACCTCTTTCAAAAGTCCACCTCGAAAGCCTCTCAGTGCTTGATTCGGGGGTTAAGATAGACACCACCGTTTAATTGGAATCCAACCAATCAGAAAGTGAACCAGGCATAGTGACTCCAGATGCAAGCCCAGCAAGGTAACAAGGGCACATTTTTGCCTTCTTCTCTGAGACGTCTATTTGCTGCTTCCTATTCTGTCCCGAGAGTTGGTTCTTCACATTTATTCCGGTTCCTCATCGCCAAGTCACTAAACTCGGCTAACAGATCAGAATTGCTTTCAGAAACTTGCTCTCCTTTTTAATGTACTGTTAGATGGACTATAGGACGCCCTCGGGTTCTCGAATAATGCCTTTGCTATTGTTGATTTAGTGTCTAGCCACCGACAGGGGCTTCCCTCCCCTTCCTCTCTCTCTCCCCGGGGAGCCACTCAAGCAACTGCAAGTTTTCTCAGCCCAATTCGAATAACTTATTACCTATGCCAGCCAGTAGCTAGGTGTTTCCGGAGCTCACATACAAGGGAAACTGTGCTTATGGTAGCTCTTCCATTTAACCTTAAGGAACCTTGAGACTTCAAAAAATCCAGTGTTCTATTGTCCTCTGATAGATATACTCTAAACCTGTCTTCTCTGAGCATTTAAGGCTAGCAGTCAGAAATTGAGCCTATTAATAATAAAATGGAAGAGGAGTCGTGTTTTCAGAATTACGCTTGGTTGGTAGCTAACAATTTATTTTAATTCCATTAGCGTGTGAACATGTTTCCTAAGGAAACATTTTTGCTTTTTGAAATTTATAGCAAGTACCACTGATTCACTTTACATTCTTGGTTTCTATTTTTATCATTTGTGTTGCTCTTTGTATTCCTCCTCAAAATTTAAGTTACTTGAGTAAGCATGAAAAGTTTAGGAAAGCAATAAGCCTAAATCAAGAGACTTGTTTCCCATGGCCTCAGAAGTTTTCCTGAAGCTTCACATAGTGTTGTACGTTACTTCTGAGAGGCGAGGTTTACTTGAACCGCAGATGGGATGTTGATGCCTTATAGTCCAAGAAAGTAGAGCCTTGAGCCATTATTTGGCTGTGATAGTTGGACACAGGTTGGATTGTCATTCTTTTATTTGTGCCCTGGCCGTATTTACAGCCACTTTCCACATTATTAACCAGATTCGATCCACTGGGACTCGAATTCACTAGGGCAACAAAAAACGCGCAAATTGCCTGCCTGTTTACTTTTCTAGAACTGCTTAAGCCGCCCTTCTCCCCTAGACATGGTAAAAGATTCAGAATACAGAATCCTATTCAAAGTCGTAAGTGCAATTTTTAAACAAACAAACAAACAAAAAGTCTGTCTTTTTCCCCTTCTCTTCTAGGGCTGTATTTTGAGTCTGAACCGGTTTCTTCCATGTCCAATTATTTTCAACCCCAAGAATTTTCCAGTTGTGTTTCTTGTGAAGAAAATACAAGCTGCCTCGACCAGATCTTTGATTCCTACCTTCAGACAGAGACACACCTGGACCCTTCGCTCAATTCCACGCAGAGCACTCCACACTATTTCCCTGACAGCTTCCAAGCTGCCCCTTTCTGCTTTAACCAGAGCCTGGTAATTTCTCTCAGTTCTTTACAAAACCTGATTGTTGCCTACTCTGGGGTAGTAATGCTTTGTAAGAGGGTTTGCATCATCTCCTAAGAAATGACACACACACTATCAACCAGGAAGTCATCCAGGAAACAGCAGAGAGCCATTTAAAACTCAGTGGGGGTCAGAGTAACCACACGTGGGGGGCAAACCTTTGGGTACACACGTGATTATGATTTCCCAAGGCAGCTACGCCCAAGTAAAGTGGCGTGTGGCAATAAAAAGAGGTTTCCCGGCAATATTCATTTAATGTTTTTAAACTGGAGTGAAGACAGCTGTGAATTGAAAATCATTGATTTAAACAGTGGTCCTTGGATTTTTGAGTTCTGGAAAATGGCGTTAGGCTGCGTCTACACAGTACCAAACTGTCATTACGATAAGGGGTTTTTGTTTCATTTTGACCCTGAACTGGCCCCACTAACCAGTTGTTTGGGTCTGGCGTAGGCACAAGAACTCATTTGGGTCTGAGATGGCTGGTAAAGAAGAAGCCCTCATACTTCAGAGAATTTGGATTCTCTCTTCTTGATGACCCTCACATGTTTGCAAATATGGTATCATTTAAAATGGAGTAAGATTTCCATTAGTAGACACCAGTTGTTTGCGATGTTTTTTAGATACTCATATAGTTTTTTAAACTGTAAAAAGAAGTTGTGTGTGTGTGTTTTTTTTTTAATGTACATATTTTTCTTTTGGTTTGTCAAAAAGTCTATGTGGGTATCAGACTAAATTTTCAGAGTATAGGAAATTAACTCCAGAGAATATGCACACCGGACCCCAGTTATCAAGCTCCCTTCTGGCTTCCAAAGAAGGCTTTCTCAGTCATAATTGTAGGCCTGCTTAAGAGAAAGCAGAAAGAAGCAGAAGGTACCTTTATCCTCTGGGACGAGACTTCGGTGACTTTAAGAGTAGTTGCATGTCTTGGAGTCTCCCAGACACCGGCTCACTGAAGATGCCAGTTGTACCTGTGTACGGTTCACTTTGTTCTCCCTGGTTAAGGTGTGGAGGAACATCCAAGGTGCCACCTGCTGCTTATATTGTGGCCCACAGCAAGATCTGGCGTGCAGGTGACTTGAAGCACAATGGGATTTTGTGGTTTAAGAACAAAGCATCCTCTAAAATATGGTTATAACAAAGGAAGCCAGTAAAGCAAGGCAACTTATTGTTGGGGAAGAAAAAGGCAAAGATAAAGTGTCAAATCATGCAGTCAGCAAATAAAATTACTTCTGCAGACCTGGGTTGGGCTGGGTGTTTTGTTGTGTTGTAGTCCTGCCCTCATGTTCTTACTCTGAGTTAATAAATCCTCTCTACTCAGCTTTTTTAATCCTGTCTAAATGATCAAGCTCTTTGTTCCTCGGTTTTCTCTAGACCCCAGGATCGCCTTCGGATTCCTCCACTCCGTCGAGTTCCTTAGACTACAGTTACCCGCTGGCTCAGCTACCTTCGTGTGCTCCGGAGAATTACAATTCTCCGCCTTCTCTGGACACCAGAAACTGTGGCTATCCCTCAGAAGACGACTCCTACTCACATTTGCCCTCGTACACCCAGTACGACTGCTTCTCCTCAGCCAGCACCTCAGTCTGCTACTGTGCATCGTGTGAGGCAGAACACTTGGACACCCTCAGAGCAGCAGAGTATTTTTCCTATCCCGGCACAGACTATGTGAACTTGGCCCCCTCAGCGGCCACAGCCAGCGAGTTCTATAAGAGGGGAACAGACTGGGACATCTGCTATAGTTAATGGCAATTACATTAATTTGGAACACGGCGTGATATCTCTGTCTTTCGGCCACACCAAATGACAACTCGAAATATGCAGCCTGTTAACAAAATATCACAAAGCCCGGTTCCCATGTCGGATTTCCGATGTTCTGATGCTCACTTAGGCATTAATATGGAGTCTTTCAGACCTGGTCATTGTGCCACTCCTACTTTGTATGCTCACAGTTAAAATTGTTATAGGGACTGTTCAGTTGTTTTACTTTTCTATGTAACGAACAAATTCTAATTTTTTAACTAATAAATTTTGTATTTTTAAACATTGGCTTTTTTTTAATTTTCTGATGATAGTTTCCAATTGCTTTGAATAACACCAGTTAATTCTGGAGATCACCAATTACTTTTCAATAGTTTAATCTCATTTATCCATGAATTTTAAATTATTTTAATTCGGCAAGATGCCTTGGCTCCCATAGGGATGGAGGGTAGACACAGTTCTGATGGCTGATGAGGAGGAGCAGCCTCACCTCCAAATGAGGGTGTGCATCTTGGAGCCACATCAGAGAAAGACATTTTATGAATCATTAGCTTCTCATATCTAACACTAGTCAACGAAATGTTAGTATGACCAAAAGGCACATCTTGCCTACAGCAATATTAACCCATAGATCATTCTTTTTCACGTCCAAAGTGTTGTTTTGTAAACCTTCTGGGCAAATACTTGATCTTTTTTTCTCTTGAGAGCTGCCATGCTGTTGATGGACCACAAGGTTTGGAATTCGTTGTTACCTTAGATTTCTGAATTTCTGCCGTCAGTCCTTAAACATGCATTGCATCACTCGTTTTTTTACAAATTGGTTGAGACAATTGACCGTGTTGTTTATGACTGAATTTCAGAGTTTACTGCCTCTGATTAATGTATTTGAACAAGCCCAACCATCCTTCAGGGGAAGAGGAGTTAACTTAAGCTACCTATGCCGGACTATACTGTTCAACCCTGTTTGTCGAGGGCATTAAAACACAGGACCTAATCCCTGCAGTGAATCCTTCTGTCCGGGGGGCGTTTTCCATGTCCCAACGTTCTGCACAATGGTGGCAATACTGGTACCATTTGGGGGCGCCTGGGTGGCTCAGGTGGTTAAGCGACTGCCTTCGGCTCAGGTCATGATCCTGGAGTCCCGGGATCGAGTCCCGCATCGGGCTCCCTGCTCGGCGGGGAGTCTGCTTCTCCCTCTGACCCTCTTCTCTCTCGTGCTCTCTCTCATTCTCTCTCTCTCAAATAAATAAATAAAATCTTAAAAAAAAAAAAATACTGGTACCATTGGTCCTGGCCACGGCTACCATTTTCCGAGCCCTCCCCGTGCGCCAGAGTTGCCTTTCGGGTTTTCTCACTCCTTCCTCTCACTCAACCTCCGCAACAATGTTGATGACAAAATCAGGAGTCTGAGACTCAGAGAAGTCAAGTCACCCGCCCGATGTTGCCCAATCAGTGAGTACCCAGGCTTGGGTCTGAGGAACACCAGAGCTGTGCTTTGTACTCACTCCCTGGTGGTGAGAAGTTTGAGCCATCGTCTGTGGAAGACTGCTCTGTGGAACCTGTGAAATCATCCCCCATTAAACTCTGACTTCCTCCTACAAACACGGGTGTGTCCCCCACACAGCTAGTCAGAGCTCCCCAGAAGGGCCGATTGTCCACAGATACGAAGGTGCCAAGCACAAGAGCTGAAGCCCCCACTCTGGGGACCGAGAGAGAGAAGCTGACAGACCAACCACCCACCTCAGTGAACCTTGTTCTATCCGGAAGCAGATAGGCTTTCAAAATGACATGCCTAATTGTCACCTCCCTGGGGACTCCACTAAGGCTCGGGCAAACAGAACAAGTTGCAACCTGCCTCATGGAATAGCTGTGCCAGGGAAATAGAACAATCACTGCCTTTCTGAGATGCCAATAAAACTAAATTTTTAATAGTTTCCAACTAAATTGAAACTGACGTGTCACGGACAAATACCTGTACGGCCAGAAGGAAGCCCCCTGCATGCCATGCGCCCCACCCCACCCCGGCTGTCCCCACGGGGCAAAGAGCAGAGAAGCCGGAGATGATCAGGGGTTGACACAAAAATATCTTTTTCCTGTTGCCATTCTTCTTTCTTTCTTTCTTTCTTTCTTTCTTTTCATTCTCCACTTCTATCCTCTGCCTTCCAAATCAGATCTCTTGCAGCTCTAACAGAGCGCTTGCTCCTTGCTTCTTCTTCTTGCTTCCTATGTCCCTTAGTGTTTGCCTAAATCTAGTTTGGAAAAAGATTCAAAAAAAGAATGTGACACACGGGCTAAGAGAGTTCACGATGCTTTAAGATCTTTCCAGATATTGGGGCCAACGGGTGGCCCCGCACACGAGGAAGTAAATGAACACTGCGCACCCGGTGTCTCAAGCGCTGCAGCTCTCACAGAGCAGCTCCCGAGCCCTACAGCCCCAGGGAGAACATCTGCCCTCAGCACTGGGACAAGCTGGAGGGCCTCTCATCAGCATACAGCCGGGAAGCTGCAGGCAATCCAGACGCCTGTGCCTCGCTGTCAGAAAGCATGATTCAGTAAGTCAGCCCTAGGAGCCAGGCACCTGCATTTTTTAAATGGACCTAAGTTGATTTTGAGAGAGAAGTGCCTCTGTCTACCCGGGAAAAGCACTCACATATTCCACGTCTGAATCGTTCTACTCTAGGATCTAGCAGCACAATAACAGCTTATATGGACTAAGCTCTTCCCATGGCCCAGGGCTGCGGGCATTTATCTCATTTAATCCTCAAACAACAACACAAGAGAGATACTATTACTGTCCTTGTTGTTTTTGTTTTTTTGTTTTTTTTAATCAACAATGAAAGTGCAGCTTGGAGAGCTGGAATAACCTGCCCAAGGTGACACACCCTGTAAGCAGGCTGAGTTCTCCAGCTCAGGTGGTTTGAACGTCCCGCAGCCGTTAGTATACTTTCCATGCATTATACCTGGAGGAATTATCTATTTGGAATTGGATCTTTTGCATGCACATCTGTACCCATCTCCTCAAACCTCAGAGGCATTTAATAAAATTATAAATGGGAGTTTCAATGAATGAATAATTTTGTTATTCAGAACCACTGGATTAATAAAACAAAATATTTTTTTTAATTTTATGTATTTATTTGTCAGAGAGAGAGAGAGAGAGCACAAGCAGGGGGAGCGGCAGAAGCAGAGGGAGAAGCAGGCTCCCCGCTGAGCAGGGAGCCCAATGCAGGACTCAGTCCAGGATCCTGAGATCATGACCTGAGCCGAAGGCAGACACTCGAACGACTGAGCCACCCGGGCATCCCCCAAAAACAAAATATTAATTAAGCACTTACTATGCGCATGACTGATTCAGTACCTTCAAAATGCAGTCAAAGGGTAAAAGAAAATGTGATTTCAAAAATTTAAAACTGGAAGAGCTTCAGTTACGATGGGCATGGACTAATTTTTCAAATTCTTGGGAAATTTAAATTAGGGGGTCAACCCTTGGAGCCTGAGAGATGAGACAAAGTTGAAGGTAGTAAGCATCTAGAAATGATGACCTCAAGCAATGGCCCAGAGTGGTGACATCCTGGCTGCTGGCCTGAGCCACAAGTGGACATCAGGGAGCAAGGACCTGCGATGGACTTGGGTGGGGGTAAGGAGGGAGGGAAGAGGGGTGCTACCTTTTGATAAAAAACTTTTTTTAAAAATCATTCTTCAGGAATGCCTGGGTGGATCAGTTGGTTAAGCGTCTGCCTTCGGCTCAGGTCACGATCTCAGGGTCCTGGGATCGAGCCCCGCATCAGGCTCCCTGCTCCTTGGGAGCCTGCTTCTCCCTCTGCCTCTCCCCCGGCTTGTGCTCTCTCTCTCTCAAATAAAGAAATAAAATCTTTTAAGAAATCATTATTCAGTCTGGAATCAAAGCCAATGAAAATTGTGAATAATATAGATTAAAATAAATGTGGACTAACCATCATTTCCAAATCCTCAAACCCTAAGTAACCTGTAGCACAACCCCTGGCAGGGCTGCTCAAAAAAGTAATTGACTCTTAGACTTTCTCCCTGCCTCTTACAGATGGTGTGGAGATGACCTGCCTGCGCGAGACTGGTCTGCATGGTGGCTCTAGGTCTTGGGAGCTGGATTGTAGTGTGGCCAGAGAGTGGGCCATTCAGAGCCATGTGAATTTGTGCTTTAAAAGGTAGCTTAAATGGCCCCATTTCTTGTCTCTGGGCAAGATGTAGGGGCTGGACGATGAAGAAACCTGAGGGCACAGCTCTGCGTAATAATAAAGCATCAAACTCGTTGAGGGCAGGAATCAGCATCCACTCAGAAAATAGTTTTTCTTGCTTAATATGGCTAGAGATCATGCTGTTGGTTCTTGGGAAATGTGGAAATGTGTGTGTGTGTGTGTGTGTGAGAGAGAGAGAGAGAGAGAGAAAGAGAGAGAGAAAGCACTATTCATTTTCATCTGGATAATCGGCAGGAAAGAGGAGACATCTGCCCTTAACCTGTCAGGACGGGACTTGGGGTGTCCCAGCTCCGAAGCCACCACCTCCCACCCCTACTGTGCAATTCTAGGTTGAATAAGCCAGATTTCAAACAGAGCATTGCTGTGGTTACCCAAGTCCTCACATTGCCCTGATGAGGGGGAGCGATGACTCCAAGGGAGAGATCAGTTTGTGGGAACGTGACAGTCACCCTAAAGGGGAGCTAGAATTTCACCGTGGTTGTAAAAAGAAGGAGGCATTCTCTGAAAGGAGGACCCATCGGAGGACTAAGAATTGGGGAGTATCCTCAAGTGGGCTCCCTGTGGGAGGTCAGGTTAGGGGGCCCTTTTTTTTCAGACTGTGAGAGCACAGCCCCATTCTGCATCGTTGAATATTCCCCCTGCCACATTATAACTCTATGGGTAACCCCAGCTGTTCGGAAACATCTGGTTCCCAGCAGAGCTTTGGGCGGAAGTACGGAGAATAAAGTGAAGGCACTTTAGAGGGAAGCGTTC